ACCCTTCTGTGTGCAAAGTAGCCACCCAGAACTGGGGTGGAAAGATAAGCCAAAGCAGGTCAGTATCCCCTGTGGTACTCTCTCAATATTCTGGCACTTTTTCTGCCAAAGCAAACTTGGGAAGTTTGACTAATTACACTGAATTTGCTAGGGCTGTTCTCTCCCACTGGAACACAGCTACTATACAAAAAGAGTCTCACACCATGATGTCTGTTACACAGTAGAAACTGAGTGTACATACGGAGTACCAATATGACGCTATGTTACGATATTTTAAGAAGCGAATATCAGTTTAAAAACAAAAGGCTTTCATTTCAGAATAAAAAGTTAGATCTATCTACTTTCAGCAGTCCTATCTATTTACTTAAGGGATGAAAGATAGATTCTGTTTTTGCAGTTTTTTATTCCACAAAGTCTGTGATACCAATAGTTTTCAAAGCCCAGAGGGGCAATGGGCCAATACTCCTTTCTTTTCCCATATGTTAGAAGAATGAGATATCATTATGCTTAAAAGAATTTTACACTGGTTACCTAGGGTTTTATTAAATTTCCAACAAATACCTGCAACTGTCTCTTCGGAAATCTTCCTAGTAGGTGACAGAACAAGACTCAGTGGAATAAAAAGCATCTGGCAACTTCATATACCTATTTAGAGTGGATGGGAACATCATTAAATATGACATTTATCTTAAAATTGCACTTCTATTTATAGTCTGGTAGCTGGAAACCTCAAAGAATTTAATTTTAATGGAATTATCAAACTTATGTTGCTTAGTGTGTACTTCTCAGCTCACAATTACACTCTCAATGATAAGGTATTTACAGTTATTGGACTTTTACTGATTACTAGCATATACATTGCCTTTTAGCTATTTATACCTTGAAATTATGTAAAATTGAATAAAATAAAATCTAAATTAAATTAAAAGTAATTCCAGGAGAAATTTTTATTTTGAAGAGTATGTTTTTCATCCCTAATGACATGAACAAAACTAATTATAAAAAGATACTGTTAGCAACAGTGCAGTCACATAGAAAGTTCTAGATAGGGAGTGTATCTACTTACCATGAGAATTTTGAGTGAAATGGGGATGGGTAGTCCATAAACCACAAGTTGTAAAAATTAACTGAGTATGTTAGTGCTGTTGATAATTATGTATACTTATAAATGACAAATTTGTTTCTAAATTTTATATTAGAAAAAAAAATATCAAAATTAGGGAAAAAGTTTAGCTAAGTAAAAGGTAGGTGTTGTCAGGTCAAATGGTGTAAAGGATGAAAATTCATTTTTATTTACTTTATGGTTTTGGACATTTATATTCCTATCTTGCCTTCACTCCCAAGAAACATTTGGACTGTAAACAATACTTTAAAAAACACCAATATATCTTCACTCTATCTTGAACCTCTCCATTTTTTCCAGATCCATCCACTATTATCATTTGTGGAAAGCAAAATAGTTCCTGAAGATGTCTACACACTATGCTCTAGATTTAGAACTAAGGCAAAAGACACTTTGCAGATAGGTAAGAACCTTAAAACAGGAAGATTACTTTCAATTAGTTGAGTGTGTCCAATCTAAACAAATGTACAAGTCCTTATAGTAGAGGGCTTTTTCTGGCTATAGGGCAGAAGAGAGGCTTTAAAATGGGTGCTCAGAGAGTTTAGAAGCACAAGAAAGAGTCAATGTGTATTGTTAGCTTGAAGATGAAGGGGAACATGTACTAAAGAAAATGGAATCTTTGGAGCCCAGCAATTACAAAACAATCTCTATTGGCTAGTCCACCATTAAACCTGGGATTTAAGATAAGGAATATCTGCATTCCATTGTCAAAAGGGCAAAGAAAGCTATGGTCAAGGAAGGATACATGTGATATTTATGCTGAAAATGTAAATACATGGAACTGTTTTTTGAGAAATATTCATCATTCTCTTCTTGAAATCTTCTATACTCAATGTATATACTCTTAAAATTTTTGTATTTTTACGACTTTCTTTCTTGGTCTACTTTATGAGATTTTCTTCTTCTTCCTCTACCTAATTCCAAAGTACTAATCTTCCACAAGATATTATCTTAGCCTATTGTTCTTTTATCTATAGTGTTCTTCTTGGGCAAGCTTAGCCATGCTCATACTTTTAAGCATCATCCACATTGTAAGAGTCAGATTTATGTTCCTGAGTCTCACACCAGCTTCAGAAATGTTTGTTTAAATATATTGTAGACATTTCTACTTGAAATGTCTAGATGCCTATAGATCAATATGTCAGATTTAAAAAGTCCTAAATTGAAGAATGCATCCTGCTCCTTTCCCCCTAGTCTATTTCTCCCTATATACTCCAGTATTTGTTAATAGAGCTCTGATCATCCTCCGAGGGATGCAAGTCAGAAATATGAAACTCATCTTAGGAACCAGTTACTGAATCAGTGACTGATTGATGACTAATTTTGCTTTCTAAAAATTTCCTGAGTCTATCACTCCCTCTGTATTTATATTACAACAGACTTAGTTCAGCATTGGATCTTTGCTGAATTATTATACTACACTGCACTTTTATCCTGAAGTTATTATTTTTTTAAAGATTTATTTATTTATGCATACAGAACTGAGGTACAGCCCAGAGGTGCAGGGGTGGTGTGAGAATTCACCAGACACAGAATGGGAGCAGAACAGGAATATTGATGAAGTACACTACGGAGGGGAGCAGCAGGTGGTCAGAAGAGGTCTCCCACACCATATGGATCACCTCTGGGCAGGGATCAAACTCATGCTGAAGTGGCTTTAGCTTCTTAGTGCTGTGCTTTAACCTGCTGCACCACCATGGAGGGCAGGGCCCCACCCTAAAGTTCTTTTGCCACATGCTGATTTAGGATTACTTCTTATTGCAGCTCTGTTATAATATAAGCTCCAAGAAAAGGGCCTCTTGACATGTTCATGTTTTCTTTATCATAGTCACTGACATATGTCAGGTAATAAAAAAGGATAGTTAATAAATGTATGGTAGCCTAAATAACCTAGAAGTTACTCATCAGCCAATAATATATCAAATCTCAACTGAAACCTTTCAGAGCTTCGTGTCACCTGTATTAATGCTGATATTTATATGAATAATATTGCTTAATGTATGACTTATATATTGATGTTATGGTTTCTATTTAGTATTAATATTATCTCCCACCACATTCAGTTCAACATTTGATCTTAACATTATAGCTAGGTGCCTATCATTCCTCTTCATGCCACGCCCTCCAAGCCTTTCCTCACTATAGTTTTGATCTTAAGCACCTTTCTAAGTGAACTTTACCTGGTTAGCACTCACTCTTCCATCAGATCTTAGATTACTGGCATTCAGGCTGGACTAAGTGGACTTCCTCTGAATACCTGATACACTTTCTATGTAATTTTGGTTTTACTACTGACATACCATCATGAAGCAATCTGCACACCTACTGGGTATCTATCTTCTCATAGATTATAAGCAACTCAGCTTATACATGATTTCTATTCATCTTTATTTTCCATGTACCTAGCACATACACATTTGATATTTTTCAATATAGCCTGAATTATTTATTTCTTTAACATGACATATTGTAATACTTACAGTCATGTTAATGTCCACTTTAGGTTCTTTTTAATTAACAGACTGTATCTTTCAAAGCAGTTTTATGTTTTAGATATTTATAGGTTTTAAGAAAGAAAAAAAAAACCAGTAAATTAAGTTCTAACTGTTAGGTAAATATATATTTAGGAAAACCCCCTCGCATTCAAAAGGTTGACCTCTATCATATAAGCACAACACAACTAATTATGTAAGGATATTAGCAATTAAAAATAATTTGTAAGTAATCTCTATGATCACAAATCAAGTTTTGATTTCTACATTGAAATGCAATATAACATTTTGAAACACCAAAAGAGAACTCCTATGTAATGCTCATTTTAAGTGCATTGAGTTATAGCCAAGATATAAGAAATATCAACAAGCAACTATTTCAGTATATAATATTATAGAAAGTTCAAATTTCAGAATCAGTTAAAATTTGCAAAATGAATATTAGTCAGGTCTGGAATGGAACATATCTTTATATACTTCTGTGATGTAGATTTATGTCCTGACTTCTGTAAACAAGAACCATAGTATTCAAACATAAATGAGATTTAATCCATTTGCTTGCAATTAATTTGCTGTAAAAGAAACACCATGTTATATGGCTTTGTTTGTATAAGTAGAAGATATGCTATTACTTCCCAGATACCAGGGATTTAATGTTTAATTATCAACACCCATTTGAAAAAAAGACATTGCTTTGACTCACAAATTTCTTAATTGCTAACAGTGGCTTTTCTGAGTAGGAGTGTTGTATCTAATTTATTTTTGCAGATGTGATTTAGAAACTGCATTTTAAAGTAGCAAAGCTTTGCATATCTTCACTGTCAGCAGAAAATTCCTCCATTCCTGCTGTTGGAGAATATTGCTGCTTGAAGTTTCAACAGGGAAATAAAAACTGCAGTGAGAAAATGGATAACGCTGCTTCCAAACTGAAAAAGAAGCGAGGACATCAGCAGTAAAAGAGCCACATTATTCACATAAAAGACAAAGTGTCATCTTCATCTTGGTAACCTGCTGGGTGTGAAAATTAACTGGGTTGGTTCCAACTTGAGGCACCTAAAGAAAAGCAAATATCTTGCAGATCAGAGCTCCTTTACAAAGGATCAGCAACTGCCCAGCCACAGGACACTGCTTAGCTCCTCCCTGCGAGGAAAGACAGTCAAGGTACTTCAAGAACAGCGGTCGGCGTTCACTTTGAAACCGCTTCATACATGGCTGAAAATCAGAACTGATGTTTTATTTTCAGAAAGATTGACTATTTTAAAATGCCCCTTTCTCTCTGTAATATGCCATCGGCTACACATGACCATAGCAAAGTAAGTAAGAGGAGAGTATGTAGTTTGATGACAACTCAATATGAAGTCAACAAGTAAGGTGCAAATGCCTACCCGTTTGGCTGAGCTGAGAGGCGCTCCGACTTTTCCTGGAGAGACCAACAATAGCTACCATTTTGGCCCCAAGGCTAGAGTGCCGCTTTTTGCCGCTGGTACCCAACATGCCCACCGCCGTGTCAGACTGGCTGCCGTCGTTCTTCTCCAGCGAGCACATGTCCCCGCTGATGCTGGTGCTTTTGGTCATGTTCTTCCCTGAGATGCCCATTTGTCTGCTTTGCATTTTGGATGTAAAGACACTGTAGGCCGGTGGAGCATGAAGAGTGAGAACAAGAGTAAAAAGGAAAAGACACAAAAGGTATTTTAGATCAAATGTATGGAGAAAAATTCAAGTAGACCATCTATGGGCCATATATTTAGACGTTAAAATTTTTTGAGTCTCATGATCTTGAATGGACATTACAATTCAGGGCTGACTTCAATGTGACTATGCAAAACCAGTCCTCTAATTTTATTTCTGCTGTAAAGAGGAGGCACTAGGTTGCATGACCACAGCAAATAAACATTCATGAAAAATCAGTGAACTCACTTATGTCCTGCCAGTACAAATATGCATTTAGGTTGTCATGCACCATAAGGAAGATGCTTCCAAAAGCATTCCTTTCTAATTTGCATTACTTCTACCTTTATAAAGAAATAAGTAGGGAAATTTTGCCCCTCCAAATGATAGAAATTACAGTATGGGTCACTAAGTGAAGCATTTTAAAGTAAGTTTTCTTATGAATAAACCTGATTAAGATTTTTCTAATAGTGACTAAATTTGCCAACAAGGAGGGATGTTTAACTAGATTTGAATTAAAAACAATCTATTTCACTTTATATAACTTTAGATTTATTGAGAACAAACTATATTCCAAGATAAAGAAAAGAAATACACCCTTCTTGCATCCATTTGAAAAAAAAGAAAAATCATCTTCAGTTTTCTAGACTATATGATCAGAAACACACTATCTACCAGACTAACATTACAAGTGAGAGTAATTAAACAAAGACCTCTGGATTTTTTTTATGACTATTAGGGTGGAGGAGGTAGAACAGGGCATGAAAAATTTGGAAGCAGGCTCTCCAATTTTATCCCACAAATGTGGAAGATTGTGAAGGCAACAGCCTGCTTTGTAGGAATGTAAGACTTATTTACAAATTAGCAATTTCTGCCTTAGTATCAGAAAGTCCTAATATTGCATTATTTTGGTTCTGGAGAATGAGACGTAACTTAGATATAATTTGGCAACACTTACCAAAACCCTAACAAAAAACCAAGTCTAGCTTTTATACTTGTACTTTTTACTATGCAGGGCAAAACTTACCAGTTCGTATAGATTTAGGTTTATCAAGGACATTATTTATTGCAGTATGGAGGGGCCCAGTGGATTATGGTGGAGGATTATTGGTGTTTTGATGGTAGGCATGGTGTGATAATATGCATTTGTACAGGTATGAACTTATACACCTAAAACAGACAGTGTTGTAAACCAGTGTTATTGTCATCAAAACAGAGAGGAGAGCACATGGTTGCCAGATGAAAATTTGTAAAAGTAATGTTAATTAAATGAAGTGACAGTGAGGCTACTAACATGAGGATAAAGCCTAAATGTACAACTATATGGGATAATATTATGTCTGCATCATTTATCCCTAACTATTCACATGATTTACCCTTATTTAACCCCTCACTGAGGTATATCAGAGTTGCCCAAGACTGTGAGAACTCATACAGCCTAGGTAGCTGCACCAGGTGACCTGGGATCCAGTTCATTATTTTATTAGCGTAACATTAAAGGGCATTTTGGAGACAGCAGGGTAATCTTCTTTGAACAGTGAAATATTTTTAAAGGCCGGATGAACGGGAATTGAAGGGAACTGGGAATATTCCCTTACTAACTGACTATCCACCACTTTATTTACTCTTAAGTCTACTGGTATATTAATCCTCTACTATCTCATTTTATTGATTTTTTTGGGTATTCTCTACCCAAACAGCAGTATATCCCTACCATCATCGTGAGTTTGAAGAAACTTACTTAAGGACACATCTCACACTACTTTATAAAGCACAGGATGTGTTTTCTTTATTACATAGTGCTTATAGTTCCTAAGTATGTGCTTATAGTTCCTAAATATTTATACTCCCCACATCATATGATAATTTTCAATGTCTTTTATTATGTTAGTTGTATTCTAACTTCCTTAAAATGTTAATAATTCTTGTCCTTGCACATAACTTTAGCCTGAGCTTTAGTTTTCTCAGCTATTTATTACACACCCTTCTATCTGAATACAGCTCTATGGGGCATGAACTTTCCTTCTTTTGTTCACTGCTAAGCCCCAGTTTTAACAATAATGCCTGCCACATGGTTAGTGTTCAATAAATATTTGTTGAAAAAATAAATTACTATAATCAACATAACTCACAAGGTTATGGTAAGGATTAAATGAAATACCATATACACAGCACTTTGTCTCTATATTAGAAAAAATATAGCAAATTATCTAAAACATAGTTAAGATGTTAGCTCTGATAATTAAATGCTATTGAAAAGGGGACAGTGAGATTTTGCTAAGAATAGGAACTTAAACTTGGTATTTGAGAAGCAGTTGTTTTATATAAACAACGGAATTTCTTTAGTCTCAAGGAAATGGAACATCAAACTTCATGTTGGTACATAATTCCCATACTTTGGTCATTTCAAATTTAAAAATAAGTTTAATTACTTATGTGTTTCACTAAAAATAGCTATAAGGTTATCTTACTACACAGATAATTATTAATGCTTCTACAAACAAATTAAAACACATATCTACAATAAGAAAGAATGTCAATTTAAGGGCTGTGTTAATTGCTTTTAGATAACTGTTATTAAGACTGAATAAAATGCTGAGGGAAATTAGAGACATAATGACAATGACGAGATCATCAAAAGTAGTCATCTCTATAATCTGGGCTTACATGAAATAGTAAAGTATTATTTTCTCAAGTCTGAGTTGAAAACTAAGAGCAAAAATTAATTGGAGGAATATTATTACTACTGCTACAGCTCATCACTTCCTGAAACTCATACAAATGAATGTTGAGGTGCCAAAGGCAAGAAAATAATAATGATAGCACATATCTATTCATCAAAATGAAATAATACAGATGAACAGAATTTAAGCAAATCTTACACTTTGTGTCTCCAAACATAGCTCTGTTGTATTTATAGACTATGTCTACTTTCATGGATATTTAAGTTTTTTTCTTAGGGAAATAATTGCATATTCTCTTAAATTCATGATAAATGAGTGAATTATGAATTACATGTACAAATGCAAATAGCAGATATTTTCCTCCACTTTGATATTTCTTAACAGCATACAAATATAAGCATATGATAAACACAGGTTGGTATTGTTTTATATTGTTCAGCATATTTATTTTACAAAAGGAGTTTGATTTAAATGTTGAAAACAATAATGTTGCTAGTGGACAACTTTAAACTAAAATTTTAAACTAATAATGTGAATTTAAAATGTAACATTTACAAAATTCTACATGATTTAATTATAAAAATTTTTAGGTTCCAAAAATTTATAAATATTCAGAATTTTTGGAATGATTCTTATATAGTGAAATAACTCATTTGCCCAAGATTTATTAGTAGTAACTGAAAGTCAAATTTACATAAATAAGTTAAATAAACTGAAAGACAAGTTTATATAAATAAAGGCAATTATGCCATATACATGTGCATTTACAAATTCATACATGTTTATATAGAGCTAGATATAGATATATGTGCAAGTAGTCACATATAAAAGGGGAAAATGTGGATTTAAAAGATAGGATTACAAATTAAATGGTCAAACTAAAAAAAAGACCAGACTCTGTACCAATTTGATAGTCTCATTTAACAAAGTACCTATCATCTCTTCTGTGTTCTTTATAACAAATTCATATCTATCCTAATCAATATGAATCCATGCTTTTCTCTGGGTAAAGAGAGAGATGGCGAAATTGACCTTATTGAGTATCATACTTTGTTGAATTATACCTTAGGAAGAATTGTGACCCTCACTGTCCACTATCATAGACACTAGCAACATGCAGCTAACAGGTACCACTTCAACACATTATAATGGTAATATACTCACTGATTAAAACACTTGCCTTCCTTCAAAAAGAATGAAATATATCAATTTTTTGTATAGATTAAAATTTGAAATGAGATATTTTAATATAGAGTTAAGTAAAAGTTATAATTAATTATACCTGTTCCTTCTTTAAATGTGTCTAATAAACATTTACTTATGTGGTTCTAGATATTTTTTATAGGACATTGCTACTTCAGATAACTGGTTTAAAATAGGATAGATAGATTGCAGCTAAATATTTGATATAAAAGGGGCTTCTTTCATAAATTATCACTAGTTTCATAAAATATCACCTGATAGTAATTTTGAAATTAGTGTTGTTCTGTGAATAAAATGGGTTAATGCAAAAACCCGTAATGGTAATCAAATGACATTATTGACAAAACAGTCAAGCTTAAAAACAAGTACAACTGACACTCAAGATGGAACATAAAATAGGCACATTGAAAATGAAAATATAAAGCAGTAAAAAAATCTTTAGCAAATAAATATTATAAAGATATGGCAAACATAAGCTCTACAAAAAAAACAGACAATTTTTCTGTATCAGTGCTTATTTGGACAAATGTATTTCTACTCTGCTAAGGGTAATGATTCCTAATCTTGAATGAAGAATACTTATTTTATATCTAATAGGAAACATTATTATTTGCTGAGAAGTCCACTGAATTTAATTAGGAGACTCACTTAAGATGTAGTTGCACTGTTCTTGCTGTAACCTAGTACACAAAGTAGTTTGGTTAACTGCCTTATTATGTAAAACACAAGTAATATTAGCCCAACCTTATTCTGATAGTTGCTACAAGGTTTTCTTACCCCTTTCCTTTCAAGTTCATTTAATCAGGTATAATTAATTATACCTAAACAAGTTTAGGTATACTTGGGTTAGTTATATAACCTGTTTAGGTATAATTCACTATAACTTCTACTTAACTCTATGTTAAAGTATTGCTACTCTTCTATAATATGAGAAGTTTGAGTCCCCCATTTTTCTCAATTATCATTGTCTTCTCTTTACATACACTTAGGAACTTAGATTTCATAACCCATCATTTCACTCTATAAAAACCCTTAACGTTGTTAGTTCCCCTCTTCATATGACATCTGACTG